GTAAGCATGCCAGATGGAGGGAGTAGGGCAGCGGTCTGGGGAACTAGTGCTATGCAGCCAGGTACCCCTGCTTTCCAAGCGGTCCCCATGGCCCACGCTGTATCTGGAACACCCCAGATCAGCACTCATTCTATTTCTGAGGGCCCCTTGGGGTGGAAGCCTCAGTTGCGCAGAGCAAGCAGGTCTTGCATGCCCTGTCCCAGATCCTGCCGGCTGCCTTTCTGTCAGTGTGTCGCTTCATAAATGCAAGCTCCTTCTGATCTCCCGGGCTCTGCCCTCTGACTCTTGCCCTGCTTCTCTCCTGCACCCTCACCTGGGCCTTCTCTTCCACTTCCTCAGCTCCCAAGAGCACCTGGCGCTGACCACCCCTCTCTCTACACCCAGAAACTCCCATCCAGCAGCGACATGCTACAGTTGAAGCTCCGTCTTCTGAGCTCTTCCTCCCTGGCCTCCAGTAGCTCTAGTCTCAGTGCTCAGGAAGGAATACTGCATGCATGTTCAGTAAGGAATAGTGAATTAGTTCAGCTCAGAACCATTAACTCTCCTTTGTTCTGTTCCCTGCTTGTTATATAGCATCTGGGTGCAGACATGGGGCTAGGGCCGGTATCCAGGCATTGGCATACCCAGCACTGAGGAACCCTTGTTCTGTGGGGACAGGCGGTGGTGTTGGCCCCTTTCTCAGAGCTTACCCTGGGGACATCACCTGTCACATTCTTGTCTGGTCCCCACAGGTAGGAGAGAGGTGTTTGATGGGCCAGAGCAGAGGGCATTGACTATGGACACCCGTGTTGAGCCTGGGCTGCTGGGAACTCCAACTCTGAGAGGCATACCATCCTGGCCTGGAGCGCCCCCTGCCTACCCAGGCTTTGGGAAAACTCTGCATTCTCAGATTGCCCGCAGCAACCTAACTTTTCTCCCCAGGCGTCTGAAGCTGGCCCAGTTTGACTATGGCAAGAAGTGCTCAGAGATCGCCCAACTGACAGAGGGCATGTCTGGCCGGGAAATTGCCCAACTGGCCGTGGCCTGGCAGGTGAGTTGGGCCAGTGGGTTTGGTGAGGGGTGTGCCGCTGGCCCAACATCAATGTGATCTGCCACGTGGCTTTTTAGAGGCATGACAATGCCATAGCCCTGTCCTTGCCACCCCTGGGTACAGCCAGGGCCCTCCCATGTTCTACTGCTTCCACAATACAGACTCGTTAGACAGTGAGGGGCGTGAGCATGCCAGATGGAGGGAGTAGGGCAGCGGTCTGGGGACACGGGGCCCGAGGGCGGCCTGTACTGTCCAGAGCTGGGTGTGCGTCTCCTTGGGACTCACACAGACACACCTGACTGCCCCTCCCCGACAGACACCTGGTGAGGCTGTTCACATTCCACCTACAAGGGTGGGAAAGAGAGGTCTTAAGACCCAAATGTATCAAATGGGGAAGCAAATGACTCTCAAACCACAGTCCTGGGGGACTCAACACAGCTGGGGTGAGGAAGCCTCAGCCCTGATCCATGGGAGCCTCACTGTGAGCGGGTCCAAACATATGTCCCGGAGCAGGCCTGGGTAACCAGAGGCCACCGCTGTCCTGGCTTCTTGGTTATGTGAGCCCTTCTGGTATGCAGCCTTTGGGGAGTCTACCCTGTTGACTCAGTGGGGTCAGTCAGGGGATTCTGAATGTCTCACTTCAGGCACGCTGGACAAGAGCGGCATCTTTTCCCCCAACACCCTGTCTTTCCAACTGACACGTCTCAGCAGCAGCTCCCCGGGCTGCCCTGGGCAGAGAGCTGGTGCCCCTAAGGAGAGGTATATGGACTGTCAGAGAGAGAGACCATTATCACGCCTTGTGGGGTCATATGACCGACCTGCCACGTAGCATGCTTCAAGGTGTCTATGTTAGGGCATGGACACTGGATGTGAGTCTCTATAACCTAAGTACACAGTCAACTGCTGTGTGAGTTTAGTCAGGGTGAGCTGGAGCAAACAGCCCGCAAATCTCAACTCCATCCTTCCTGGGACCTAGCTGAGGGAGATTCTTTGGCTTTGCACACCTGACAGCCAGTGACGTTCCTGTGTGTGCCCAGCAGGTAGAGCCAGAGGTACTTGGGGACAGTACTGGGGAAACGAGCAAATGGAGGGAGGTTCCTGTTTAGACCCTGAGACATGTGGGGCAGCAAGTGTGGGGTCTTTGAGTCCAGGCTGCTTTCCCAGGGGCTCAAGCCTCTGGCAGAAGATTGGAATCCTTGTGAGGAATGTCACAGGCTGGGATGTCCCCATACCCCAGGAAGATGATAAACGAAGCATCAGAGATGAGGAACCAAAGAAAGGGACCGGTTTCCTTAGCCGTTTCTGAAGGCACACTGGCCCCTGCTGTTTTTTTCACTGTTTTCCCTGTGTCCGGCCTCAGGGGCACAGAACTGGGTCAGCGTGCTTGCTTCAGCTCTTCCCAGTAACCACCCTCCTTCCTGGGCTGGGTCCTCTGTTAGTCCTTGAAGCTACCTTGGTGGCATTATAAGGACCCTAGCAGTCTAGTGAGACCCCCACATTGGTTTATGGGGTTACCGCTGCTAGTTCCAGCCCTTAACCTGCTCCAGAGCGACTGGTTTGTGGACCTGCCATTTTTTAAACAAACTTGATTTTCAAGTGGTTTGGGGTTCACAGGAAAATTACAAAGAAAATGCAGGGGTTGTGCTTACTTCCACCCTCTACCCAGGGCCCCTCTTCGATCCTTGTCTGTCCATGACCCTAACATCAAAGGCAGTTGGGTGATGATGTGCATTTGGGTCTGTGGCGTTTCCCTTGTGATCAGCCTGGGAGGAGGATGACAGGACACTGGATGCAGGGCAGTGGGGACAGGGCCACCTTCCTGCACATTGCCTCTGGGACCGGGACCTCCACCCATCTCCTGGGGACCTCTGGTCAGCAGTCTGGCTGTCCCTAGACTAGCTCCTCCTGAAGCATCTTCTCTTCGGCTGGGCCCCATCCTTGGGGAAGGCCCTATGGCACGTCTGACTTGTCTAGCCATGTGCATGTGTGTGTGCGTGTGCGTGCCACCTGTACCAACCCTGCTGGTACCTGGGACATGCACTGAGGCCATAGCCAGGAGGCTCCTCAAGGCCTTTGCTGCTCATTTTAGAAAGTTCTTGAAGCACAGAGAGCCCCTGGGGCCCTGGAAGGAGGGAACTAAGAAGGCTGCCCATCTGCCCCTCCCATAGCTGACCCACTGAAGTCAGTGGGTTCCAGAAGGCATTCCTAACCACACTCTGTGGCGGTGGGGGTGATAGAGTAGGGCTGCCTGAGACCCTCAGCCGATGTCAGCCCCCGCTTCCCACAGGCCATGGCATATGCATCGGAAGACGGGGTGCTGACAGAGGCCATGGTGGACGCACGTGTCAAGGATGCCATCCAGCAGCACCAGCAGAAGATGGAGTGGCTTCGGACAGAGCACCCTACAGATGGCACGCCCCGACTCTCCTGAGGCCCCAGCAGGCAAACGCCATGTGCCATCCCATAGCAGGAGGAGCTCCGAGCTCGGGTCACAGGCTGGGAGGGAGGGGAGGCTGCTCCCACTGGCCATTTTAACCTTCTTTGGTCAGGCTGGGCCTGTATGAAAGGCCTCTGGGCTCAGGACCAACCACTGGTGTTGTGTCTGGGAGCCCCAGAGCAGGATGCCAGACAAGCTTCCCAGCATCCTTGGCCTCTGAGCCAGCCCTCACCAGCACCACTCACCCTCATCCTCACCCACCACCTGTAGTGGTCATAGGGGGGATCTGCCAGGATACCAAGGCTGCCCCCTATGGAAACGAGGGGACTGGTTTGAGCTGGCCGATGTGGCACAGTTCCTATGGGTTCAGACCTGAGGGCTGCATTTGGGCCCCAGTCCAGCGGCCCAGCCCATGCAGCAGTGAGGAAGGCTCTGTGCTAGGGAGCCCCGTGGCTCACTTGGGGCTGGTTCTGCTTTAGTAGGCTGGGAGCAGCTGGGACCCAGAAGCTCTCAGCCACTAGATGGGGCAGTGGAACCCACCCTCCTGTGATTGGAGTTTGGGGGAGTCTCTAGAATCTAATAAAAATTCTGAACCAAGGCCTCAGTTTTTGCATCTGACTGACATGAGGAAGAGGTGGGAAGGTGACCAGAGATCCCCACCTCCACAGGGTTAGAGCTGAAAGAAGAGGCAGAGGCTGGAGCTTTCTGGATAATTTACTGACTGGCCGGGATGGACATCACAGTGAGGTGCCCCCCCCCCCCGGGCACTGGGCAGGGAGGCTGCTCCTGCATTAGGTGGACTCGGGCCTTATTGCTGCTGGGCTGGGAGTGGCCCAGCCCAAGTCCCCCGGCTCCCACACTTGAGGACACACACATGCCCCATGCACATGCTCCCGTGTGCAGACTACATGAGCACCGGGCACACTGGACCCACCATTGCAGGGGGCCCCCCTCTAGGAGCCCACTCCCAGTTGGTAGTCAGCTGGGTCAGCCTTGCTCCCCTGTGTCAGACTGGCTCTGAGCTCACAGACAGTAGACCCGGGTGGACAGACAGACTGACACAATGCACAGGAAACACAGACACAGGCCGGTTTTATGTAACATGATCCCAGACCAGGTGCAGACAGGACCCTGGGCAAGTGGCCCTAACCATTAGCCCAGGTGACCAGCTGGGCTCCCCCCGCCCTCCCATTTGGGACCCACCCCCCTATCCCCCAGCACCTTTGGGGCAGTCGCATGACCTTGCGTGCCCCCTGGTCTGCTCTTGTGTCTGCCCAGCTGGGAGGCTGGGGTCCTGCCCCCTGGCCCAGCAGCCTCCCCCACCGGCCCCCACCCTAAACCCCCTTTATAAAAAGAAAAGGAGTCAGCACCTTCTGCTGGAGACGCCCAGCCGCCCAGGTTTGGCTGCCTGATCCAGCCACCTTAGCCCCAGGCTTCTGTCCAGTCCTGCTGGGCCACAATGCCGCAAAGGTCCTTGTTACATCTGTACAGTGGCCAGCGGCTGGGTGCGCCCCAGTGAGTCCTGTTGGTGGCTCAGAGGTGCCGTGGGCTGGGGTGACCATTGTGGTAGAGTTTCTGCTTCACGTGTACCATGTTTCCCGCAGCCTCCTCGAAAGGCCTGTGTGGCCGCCGGCCCAGCTCCCGCAGGCTGCAGAACTTGGGCAGCCAGGTCCATGAGCCATCTGTGGGGACAGGGCATAGTCAGGCGGGGACCAGGCTGGTGTGGTGGCCAAGCAGAGATAGGGTAGGTGCTCGAGAATTGCTGGACATGGGTGTGAGACTTGGGGCTGGGAAGGGATAGGGCGTGGGTGGCACATGTGGGCTCTAAATTGGGATGGGGTAGTCACTGAACAGGTGACCTGGGGGATCAGAGATAAGGGGAGTGGTGAAGTGGGAGGGAAGGCTAGACATGGGCTGGGTGGCATGTCCAGGCCTGGGCAGGGGCTGAGGTAGTACAGATAGGGCATCCCTGGCACTCACCGTAGCGCCGGCCAGCCCTCCAGGCGCGCACGGCGCAGTGCAGGACACCATCCACCCACACGAGGAACCAACTGATGCAGAAGCCCAACAGCAGCCCCAGCATAAGGTCGATCTCCTGCTTGGTCACATTGTCTGTCACAAAGTAGTTCTCCGCGGCGTCCACCACCGACTGGTCCCCATCGTACGGAATCACGTAGTGCACGTGGTGCCTGGGGGCGGCAGGTGGGCTGGCACCTCTCCCGCCCCCCGCCAGCTCCCGAGAGGCCATGTCTGCTGCGGGTGGGCATAGTCCACCTTGGCCTGCCTTGCACTGTGTCCCAGGGCCCTGCCATGCCCAAGTCTAGTCTTGGTAGGCAACTGGGCCCCGGGTAAGGCAGCCAACTGAGAGGGCAGGCCCTGGCTAGACCACTCAGCCGTGGGCCCTGGTCTCCCTTCTGGAAGAGAGGAGGGTGACACTCACCCGGGGGGACCCAACTAGCCCCGCTTCTGCCTGCTCTCTTTCGCCTAGGGTCAATCTTGGCCTTGGCTGACTGGGCCCTGGGCAAGTCTAATGGCCACCTGTCTATCCACAGTACCCCAGAAGCCCCTAGTGCCCCGAGCCTGATCTGTTCTGGGCTAAGTCCTGGTCAGATGCTACATCCTCCATGAAGCCCTCTGGCCACTCCAGCCCACTAGATAATTCTCACCCAAGGCTGCCCAATGGACCTTCACATTCTCTGTACTCTTGGCCCAGACATCTTGACCTCTGGTTCGCTTTCTTTCAATGACCTCTCCTCTGGCCACTCCTCCTGACCAAGGGGTTTTCTTGCCTCTCTGTGTCCCTTACCCACCCATGGCCCCATCTACCGAGGAGCCCACCCCCACGTCCACCTCAGCCCGAGCTTCACTGCTGTCTCCATGTGGGGGTTCACAGGCAACTCAAATTCACACCTAAAAATAGCTCCTCCCTCTCAAGCTTGATTCTCTGAATCTTTGCTCAGTAAATGGCAGTTCCACGCCAACCTCAAGAAAGACCCTCCTACGGTGCTTGATGCTGCATCCCTCTTTATCCCTCAAAGCTGCCTCTTTCACTGATGTTCTTGCACCCTGCAGTGACCACACAGGTGCTCCCTCCTAGTGAAGTGAGCCTCAGGACCAAGGCATGCGGGATCTAGAGAGCCCTGAGGAGCAGACCAGACCTGTGGCCTGCTCTTGCGGAGGCCCTGGGTGGCTAACCACTCAGCATGTCTGAGAGGGTGGTGGTCTGCACAAATCCCACCAGCAGGTTAATAGACAGTCATCAAAAATTGATGGGAAACTACTGCCCATGTGCAGGTTGTGGGATCTGCCTGGCTCTGCAGCACCGAGTCCTTGGAGAGCAGACAGCCAGCAGCCAAGTGTCACTGCATTTCCTGCCTCCCAGCTTTCTCTGCCCAGACCCTTGAAAGGCCTTTCTTGAGGCCACTGCATCCTGCCCAACATGTGCCTGGGCAATTTGAAAATCGAGGCACCGGGAAAGTCAGAACCCCCGCCCCCACAACCTGTAAGGAGAGCGAGGCCACCCACCACATATCAGGACTTCCAGGGAGTCACAAGTCACCTGTGCCTCTACTGCAGGCCAGCACCTGCAGCTCACCCCCATCTCCACCCTCCAAGGGCTCAGATGGAAGCCAGATGATTCAGCTTTGGCAGAGTTCTTCCCTCACATGTATGTTGGTCATGAACATACGTGTGATCTGCCTGTGCCACACATGCTGTAACTGTCTCTACCAGATGTCAGACATCATGTTGTATACACACTTGCCACATGCACAGGGCATCCATGCACTGTGCACATCAGCTGCAGACCTGAGCATGGTGCATGCCGAATGTGGGCCATTGTCCCCTCGCAGCCCTGGGCACATGCATGTGTCCACACACGCAGATACTGCCTATTCACACATGGACTTTGAAGCACTGATTTACCCATGTGTCCTTGTGTAAACTTCTATATACAGGCACATACAAACATACAAGCACACACATGTACACACTCACTTTATACACAGTGTGTACACACAAAGATGGAGTCCATTGTGGCCCTGTGTGTGCAAGGCTTCTCCACGGAATCCTGTGGGCAAAACTGGACCATGCACACACATCCACTGCACCCATGAGACTGGGTATTGGCATGGCCCAGGCAAACACTTTCCTGTATATTGTTATATACATGCACTTCGCATACACGTATATGTTATCAATATACAATAGTACTTTGAACACGAAACTGACATGGTCTATATGTAGAAATGTTTACAAAGCATATACATGTACACACACGCGCATAGAAACCGAACTCCAGTTTGTCACATGGTGTGGCTTTTCAAGGTCTCTGTGAGCACAGATCCTAATCTGCACACGCGCACACCCCAGGCCTGTGTTTGCATCCTGCATTAGACACCTGTTGTACATGAACCCATGTGTACGGAGTACTACAGTGGTATATAAACACACCCCATAAAAATACACCTGTCTGCATGGACAGGCCTTGTGGGACGTGCGCCAGCATGTGTTCGAAGACAGAGACTCGCTCACTCATCACGTCACAAAGGAGACTGTACACACGTCAGGAGGCATGTTGCGTGTGCTGGAGAGCTCTGGGGAGCATTTTGGGATCTCCCTGATTTACATCCTACCCCAGTTGTGGCTCCAAGAAATTAAGGAGCTGACACCTCGCTGGTCCTTTACTGCTGGACAAGCCGTGTGAAATGTGTGCCCCACAGGACCTCAGACTCTGGGAGAGTGTCGCTACCCAATCATTTCCTCTTGGGGTTTTGGGTCTCCTCAGTCCCCATGCCCAGTACATCCTCTGCACCTGCTCTCAGGTCTGTGTCTTGTGCCGACACACATGTCCCCCATGAGTGTGGAGCACGCTGAGCAGGCATGCACGATCCTGGTCCCCTCTGCCCAGCTCTTGCGCACACCGGCTTGCACCCCCACCCCCACCGGCTGTGTGACCTTGGGTGGGTCTCTGTCCTTGTTCCCATGTGTCAGTAGGAGCACAAGGGTCACCGTGTTTAAGTGTGAGTGTGCATCCTGCGTGCGCGTGCGCTGTGTGGACGCACATGTATATGCACAGACGGTACACACATGCGCGTCTGGTGAGAAGATGTTTATTTCGTACACTGACGTACAAACATGCATGGCCAAGAGAACCCGTCACCACAGAGCACAGGATAACCCTCCCCACTTTCCAGTGACCTTGAGTAAGCCCCATCCCTGCCTCAGTTTCCTCCTTTGTACAATGAGGGGGGTTCTGGCCTTTCCCACTTTGACCTTCGGCACTTCCCTGCACCTGGGCTCATAGAAGTCAGTGTGCACACAGCACACGGCCAAGGGAGACGCGAGGCGTGCGGGCGGCGTGCATTGCCTGTGCGCAGGCCCTGACCGGACTGGGCCAGGAGGCCGGACCAGTTGGGCCCATTGCCCGCACGGGCGGCCCTTTCTCTAACCGCGCTGGGAGGCTGCTCCGACGGGAGACTTCTGGCTCTGGGCGCCGCTGACTCTGGAGGCCCCTCCCGGAGCCAGCTCGCCCCTCCCCCATCTGCACCTGGGCCCGGGTCCCCGCGACTCCCCGACCCCGCGCGGCCTGGAGGGACTCCCGCACCTGTGCGGTCGCGCGTGTTGTGCCCGCGGACGGGCGCGGACTCACCGGCCGCAGTTGCAGTGGCAGACGCGGTCCTCGCCCCGTAGGTGCGGGAGGATGTAGTTGTGGAATCGGTCCAGCAGCGCGTTCATGTCCATCAAGCACGCGATGGCCTAGAAGAGCCCATGTCGGGTCGGTGCCGAGCGCCGGGCGCCGGGGAGGGGGGCGCCGCGGGGGGAGGCCGGACGGGAGCGCTGGAGGGGGGGAGCAGCGAGAGTGGGAGGAGCGCAGGCGGGGTGGGGTGCAGGCTAAGGGGGGGCGGGGAAAAGAGCAGGCAAGGGGGGTGGAGAAACTGGCGGGGGGCGCAGGACGGCCTGGGGGGCCGGGCGGTGGGGAGGCCGGTAGGCCGGCTGTAAACAAGGCGGGGGATGGGGCGGTGCGAGGGCGGCGGGAGCGCGCGGGGGCCCCTCCGCTCACCATCACGACCGACGCCCCCAGAATCATGAAGATCATGGTGTTCGCGCTCATGGGCATCGGGCGGGGCCGGGCCGGGCCTGAGCGCCGCCCCCCGGCCCCG